ACGAAGAAGCAGAGAGGATGCATCGGCATACACTGGAGATAGGGGAGAAGATTATGGGACCAGACCACCCCGTCACCCTAACGAGTGCCAACAACCTGGCCACCGCGCTGCAATACCAAGGGAAGTACGAAGAAGCAGAGAGGATGCATCGGCATACACTAGAGATACAGGAGAAGATTCTGGGACCAGACCACCCCCACACCCTAACGAGTGCCAAAAACCTGGCCAACGTGCTGCAACACTAAGGAAAGTACGCGGAATCAGAGACGATCCTCCGGCGCACATTGGATGAGTATCAAAAGGCCCTTGGGCCCGATCATCCCAACACCCTAATGAGTGCCAACGACCTGGCCATTGTGCTATAAGAGCAAGGAAGGTCGGATGAATCATAGGGGACGAAGTGGCAGGCGGAAGAAGGATTACATAGAAAATCAGACAGGACATGACCGTGATCAGAACGAGGTGCGGCAAGGACAAGGGCTGGCCAATTAATCCATTTTGTAGGCAGTTTGGCTAGAATTCCCGTGACCGGAGTGGGCTGCCAGCTTCTGCTAGCGTGTGGAGCTCCGTATATTAGCCAAGAAAATGCAGGGATCGCACGAAAGTGGCAAGAACATCGAATTACAGCTACCGAGTAGCGACTATTGAGAATGTTTTTAGTAGGATTGAGGGATGCTTGTCCGCAGTGAAAGTGCCGGGTATTTTAACCAGCTCTTTAGATCTTATTTCCCCTTATTTTTTGCCAATGTGAGTGCTTTATACTAGATATCATACCAAGGAAAGTACGGGGTGCCCAAAGGTACTTGAACCAGATGACGATAGAATCATATAAGTACCGACTATCAACAACTTGGCGATATTGTCGCCCCAGAGGGGAAATTATCATGAACCAGAAGCGATCTCCCGCTACCCAATGACCCGGGCGCAATAAGAAACTTCCAGACCAAAACTATCCTGTCAAACACATTGTTATCAACCATTCCATCCCGGCTCTCGAGGATTGGAGAATGCGTGATATGGAAAATCCACATCGAGAAGTACTCGTAGTCGCAGCTTGGAAGAAGGCACTGTACCTTGCTCCCAGTACTCGTGTATGCCGAGGATCCCGTTTGCTCATTTTAGAAATAGATGCGTTATCCCCAAGCAGGGGAAGCCAATCAGCAGTCTAGCGATAGACTATACTCTCTAAAGCCCCCCTTAGAACAACACCCATCTCTGTGTAATGCGGGAGAAACTGATAGCATTATGGTTGATGCAAGCCAAAACCTATACCAGGCTGAAGTTGGAGTGTTACGTGACTGAGCAGGCCAAAATGCCAAGGCACATATTGAGGGTTAGGTAACAATAATATATTTTCAGGGTTTATCATAAAATCAGGATCACAATGTCATATATATGATAATTATATAATTATTATCACTATTATTGTGACGGTGGATTGACAGACACATTTTGTCAAGCAGACCTGCCATACTTAACCCCCGGTGTGCCTAGGCCCGTCATTTTGTAAGGTAATATCCAATCCCCCCTCTAAGGGCTATTCCCATCATTCTCGTAAGCGAGAGAAATAACATCTGTTCGAATTTGCGACCCAGACGTCGTATATCTCCCTTCACTGCAGTTGCATCGGCACGCAGGCGTCGAGTCTCAAGAGCTCCGTCAGAGAGGAGCTGCTTCACTTCCTCCGTGACACCCAGGATCTCCTAAGAAATGTTAGGATCATGCCTATTTCCCGGACTTGGCTTCCTTGTCGATCTCATCCAAACGAAGCATTCCGAACCGTCCAGGTGCCCTATGATGACCACCGGGGCTACCAAGAGAACCGGACGACGGGACTACAGAGTGTAGCCTTCCCGAAGGGAAATTACACCATGGACGGCCGGGAATCACTATGACTGAAAGGCCCTACTTGTACAGCCTTGGCAACACGGGTGACCATCGGGGACCGTAGGATGCGATAGAAGACCCACGGAGAGCTGGGAAGACTAGGAGGGGATAGCCGGCAAGACTCCCGGATGCATCCAGGGACCACAGGGGCAGTGAAAGACTGTAGAGGGTGGAATAGATACGTGGCGTTTATATGGACCGTACGGGGTAGCCAAATACCACAGGGAAAGTAAAAGACCAAAGAGAAACGAGCACCTGTGGCCGCACGGGATTGTAGGGGATTGCAGGGGACACTACCGGCGATAGCCTGTGGACCATATAGTGCGTCCGGTCTCTATTATCCCAGCCTTAGGGCGGCTGGGCATAAGAAAAAAGCCGGACTGCAGCAAAAGGGGATGCCTGGTCCTATTGCCCTACTTACCTGCCTCGCTCTGGCGCTAAACTACCCCCCAGGGTGGCGTCAGTCCGTACCCGGTATGCTATGAAGTATTGATGTGAAGCTCATGTAGCAAACTCCCCTCTGCCTCAGTCGGCGCGCCCCCCAGGCTCGTGCCAAAGAGAAAACTAAAAGTTCAAGAGAGTTGAAAGCTTGTCCACTTGTAGCCCGCAGCCCCACAAATACCATGCTCTAGTGATGTGGAAATCTCGCAGGAAGTGCCCACTCGTCGTTTCTACCAAATCCCAGGTAACTGTTGATTCCACTGTCCCTCCCTACCCGTCCCCCCTAACTCGCTGCACAAGAGGCAGGGGAACTTCCTCAGCAGCATTTCAAAGACGAGAAAATTGCAAACAATTCACTCACCGAGCACCGGAAAAAGTGAGCAGGATCCACCACCACCACAGTCCCTGGAGGCGGCAATTACTAACCTCTGGTTCTCGCAGTCTCGCAGGGTGAAAGTGAACAAGACCAATCACGGTTCTCGGACGAGACAGCCTCTGGCCTATGGCTCACTGAGTTTTCTAGTGGGTAAGTATACAAGGCAAAAAGGTATCCAAGGGCAATACAATCACCGACCCCCCGCTCGCTGAGTGTTGTAGTGGGTATGTGAAGGGAATTAACCACGGTGCAGGGACGGGACGGTGGATAGCCTTTAGATGTTTTAGTCTTCTCGCAAACAAGTGAACGGGATCGACAACACTTCTGAGACGAGCTAATTTGTAATCCCTGAGCTCCAGCTCACCGAGTGTTGTAGAAGGAAAGTCAGCGGATCGGCCATGGCTCTCGACGGGGATAGCTATTGACACCAAGCCTCCTTCCTCCTTCAGGGTATCAGTGGACCTCCACCCCCTCTCTCATTTGCTACTTCTACTTTCCTAGTGTATCTCCCCTCTCTTGCGAGTTCCAACCGACACTCTATTAGTAAATCACTCCTTTCCCCTCCTTGCTCTCCCCTAGCACACAGCCAAATCACACCATCCCAGGAAGCGTGTAGTCTAACCGCCCGATACGGACGCTACTGTATAGCACATATCGTACCTCAATAAAAAAACGAAATCCAGGGTCAAAAACGACACATGCCGAGAATGGATCTCCGGAGAAAATATAGCAACATATTAGACCGAGAAGAGCGAGCCAAACCCCCTCCAAGAATGTCAAAATCCCACAGAGATCACAACCGGCGTGCGATAGTTGGAAAAGAAGGAACTCAAAACCGCTGGAGGTATTCCCGATCTCATGGCAATTTAGATAGTGCCCCCTGCCCTCGACCAGTCGGCGCTTCCGCCCTAACGGAAATTCCCCAGCGAGGATCTGAGTTGAGCAGGAACTTTCACATACATGAATTCCACAGTTTCACTCTTCACTCTCCATCCACGGTCGGATGCGTTACTGCGCGTAAGGTTTCCCGTTATCAATCGATCGTAACGTGTACCTTACCCTTCTTACCTGTGCTATATTACATAAACCACCGCTTTATACTTGGCATTTCTCACCCTCATATTCCATTTTAGTTGTGAGGGGGGACTAGGGAGTATAATAAATCCAACCACAACAACCAGTTCCACCAATGAGACAGCATCTGAAATTCACAGACAATCTGGGGTTTTCCGAGTATTGGTATCGCGCATCTATCTATTTCAGCCTTCTTGTACACCTCCCCTCCGCTCCTCCTGAACCGGGGGGAAAAAGAAAAAAACAGCTCAGGATGGACCAGCGCTCATGAACCGTCACTCGCGATGCCCACCACCGCTATCCCTGCTGTGGTCACACCCCCTCCCCCGATCTATCAATCCCCCTGGGTAAAGAGTAAGATACCCACAGTAAGAGTGGGCACTGAGAAAGGGTCTAGTAATATATAGACAGACATAATAACTATATTTTGTTCAAGTGTATGATATAACAGCCCTGACATCTGCCACTCCAAGCGCCCGGCTTCGGGAGGGATGGAGTGCGCTGGACGTCCAAGCTATTATATGCAGTGTCTGTTTCAATGCTTTAACGAACCACAGAGCGCGGTTCTAGCGAGTGCGATATCACCCCGGTCGAGTTTATCTACCTATAGGCTCCAGTCCCCCTTGTGAGAATATCATACGGGGGCGCGAATATATGGTGGAAGGCTAATGAACGCTATTAGGGATGGTGGGATTCCCGGAACGAGGGCAATCCGGGTGCGGGGGATACTTGCTCTGCTCTGCTATCCGAGAACTCAACACCACCAGTAGAAATCCAGGAAGAGCATATCGAGTGAGAAATCGTGAACACGAACTCTTTCAAAGAGCACAAAAATTATACATAATACATCACGAGGATTCCGCCCCCCACCCAGCACTAATGCAAATATAGCCTCCCCTCCTCAATCCCTCGATCAACCTGCACCCCAATAGCACCGCAATGCCTCTCAATCGCCGGCCTCAATCTCGCCTCACCCACAGAGTGATTCCCCCTACCCACAATAACCCACAAGCCACCTCGCCTGATATCCGCCATGCGGCCGCGCAGCACGTCCATGGCCTCCTCAACGTACAGGCCGTGAAGGTCCATAGTGTCGCGGGAGAGGCCGGCATTGTTGATGGAGAAGATGAAGTTCTTGGCCTGCTCGTTGTAGGCCTTCATGTTCTCGCCATGTCGCTTGCCCTTTTGCGAAAGGGCGTGGGCAAGGGCACGGTCGCCGGAGGCGTATGCTTCGTGCGCACCGGTGAAGGAGACGTGGCGGGATTCTGCTTCTGAGGAAGCCACTTCGGGTGAGGGTTAGTTTAGGCGGTTGTGGGGAGAGGGGGAGAAGTTGGGGGGGGGGGGGTTACACGCTCGTAGGCGGTCGTAGGTGGCCATGTAGTCATCTTCGGACAGGGGGGAGTCGGTGTCCGACATTGGAGGTTTTTTTTTGGAGGTTCTGGATTTGCTCGGGAGAAGTAGGCAGTTGTGCTAGTAAAGGTGCCCGATAACCAAGTCTAAGAAGTGGGGAACGGAAGGCAGGTACACTAGAATTATATAGGCCCTAAAGCAGAGTATAGCAATCCTCATGGCTCCTTACCCCCCAACTCTAATCCACCATGTCCAGTCACAGCCCGACCAGTAATCAGTACACACAAGCACAATGCCAGCGAATATCAAGCACCCGGCCAACAACCTGATATCCAAATCCCTGAGCGGACACCCGTGCAGTACCACAGTCGAAAATATCAAGCATGGTGTGTGGAGGCCAGTGGACGTCCAGACTCCGGAGGTCGCAGCTACCATTGAAAAAGAAGCAACGGGCTCAAAATTATCGACTGTAAGGTGGGATCAAACAGGGGCCACAAACAATCATTGGATCACCGAGCGAGCGGGTCCAGGCAGAGCAGTGCAGGAAATAATCCACCAAGACAAGTAAGAGCCAATAACGTATCAACGATAGGTACCCGCAGTCTAAAATGATACACACCCGAGAGTGCGAGTATCACATTATGCGGGTGGTCATCCTAGCCAATATTACGGGGGGGCAGCAATGCCAGTATCGCCCGATCGATGGCCCGATAGTTCCCAGGTTCCCATTGAGCGATGCGGGAAACTTCCGGTCTTATAAACCAGCAATATCGGCTGCGATGCCTCTCTAAAACATCTCTAGTAGGCTCGAAACAAAAGGCTACATCCTATACTTCCCGGAGTTTCCCCAGACAAGAATCAGGCCGCCCGCACATGTCCCAGGTATGGTTATCACCATCACGCGGCCAGGCACATGAAGTAACTAAGTACTCACCCTAAGCGCCCCAACCTCCCAAACGAAGCGGCGCAGAATCCCTCACTGCCCAAAAAAATCACCTTAAGCAGCCCCTCTCCCGCACAGGGCTCTAGCATCCGAGAACGAGTGAGACTATATGACGCCAATAAATGTCAAGCACATGCTTCGGGAGCGCCAAGATCATCCACTCCCGCGAGATGACCCCAACCACGAATCTGGAAGCCGAACCAGCGCACCCAGGAATGCGGAAAAAATCTCAACCAGGTGAATTGCTTTCATCCCAAGCCCGAACTACACGGAAAAGCATGAACGACCCAACATCAAGCCCGTAGAAGGAAAGAAGGCAGCCTAAAAAAGAGACAGCTTAGTGTTCCTCCTCTTTTCCTCCTTCATATCTTCAATCTATCCACAGGGTTATCAGAATCAGTACTCTGCACATCCGATCTCCCGCGCCCGTATGCAGACATACCCATTTCTTCTTACAATCCCTATACGCCCTACCATGGCCAATGAGCTTCGCACCTCACCCAAGCAACCCAAGCGGAAAATAGAGACCTACTGGAAATAATCAGAGCACATCTCTCTATCCCCCGCGTTCCTGTTCAGACACCTGATCGAGCGATTCGCGGCTTCCTGGCAGGGGTCAAAATACTGACTTGAGGCCTTCCTATAATTATCATTCGTGAGTTACCAGTCGCGTTCTGTTCGGTGGAGGGCGGCAGAGGGGATGGAAGAGTATGCGGTACGCTTTGAATTTAGCCTTATTTTCTGGATGTAAAGGGTCCTCGAAGTCGCGGTCGTTATTGGAGGGGGCGGGAGGGGTAGCGGGCATTGTTTGTTCAGGCGCTAGGTTCGGTCCGTTGACTCGGTGGTGGTGGTGGTGGTGGCGGGGCGCAATTGGGGAGCTGCGGGTGTGGGATTGCAGAAGATACCAATTTGCCAGTAGGGTAAGTCTGGGTGGTGTCTGCTCCAAGTCGGGAGTCTCCGGCGGTAGTCTATGATCCCGGCCCCACACGGGTTCGGACATGAAACGAGTTCAACTGCGGCGGAATTGTTTTCTCCTTACCACACAGCCACACGTGGCTAACTCAGGAAACAACGGCACGATATGACACCCCAGCTCAACTTTACCACTTCACGAGGAGACATAATTAAACAAATCTCCTAAATCCAAAACCTGGACACCCCCAACCATCCAGCACAAAAAAACACTGTCACACTCATAAACCAAAAGACAAGACCAGAGCCGGACGATCTCTTGATCACCGCAACAAGCGCGGACACCTCCCCGCACTCCGCTCGCTCGAAATTAACCAGATCATCACAAGAACGGTTGGCCCTAACCCCGTGAACACAGGACAACGAGGGTATGATATGATATGTGAAAACACCACCAGGTATCATACGGTATCATACCGCACCGGTGCATGATCCGTAGTATGTCTACGGTGTTCCAGTCCGAGAGTCCCAAACCCACAAGTGCACGCACCAGCATAACGAACCCGAAAACCGAGAGCAAATTATTCTCTGCGCCTACGAGTAAATCAGGCTCAATGTTCGCACTCGCCACGCCCGGTATGAAAGTTTTCCCGGGAAGCGCCCGACGAGATCTCCTATCCAAGCTGTCTAAATCTAGATCCGCTCTTATTTAGAGATGTCCTTGAATCATGCGACTCGTGTTATAGATGGTTGACGGTGCAATGCGGCGAGTGGGTGCGTGTGTGCTTCGAGCGAGAATCTGTCCTTGTCTCGGATTAATCCTGAGAGTGCGGTATCGTGAGAAAGAAAGGTAGGCTATCAGCTCCCTACAGTACTGTACATGTAACTTACCCCGCGGTGCGATAGCAAACTCAGGTCGGTTCGCCCAGGCGCAGAGCTAAGTCCCGCGGGCTGTCTCAGCCGCACCCCGCCTCCATCGGACCAAGGCATACCCGGACCTGGTATAGTATAATACCGGTAGTACAGTAACAATATCACAATCGGTAGACACCTATCGTGAATGCAACCACCCGCCTCATACACTATCATACAGTACCAAAAGCTGATGCGGCTGACTTTTCTAGAATCGACCAAGAAAATAGAAAAAGAAAACAGACGCAATAGTACTGTAACACCCAATACTCTACACCCCTTTGAAGACGCGGCTTCAAGTTGATATAAAAGTGCTCATAAGACACATTCCTAAATCCTACGACTTTTTTTTTTCCGATTCTGATTTTCACAGGGGGGGTGGATCCGGTGTTGGTAAAAACAAAACCCCCCCTAAATTATTACATAATATTATATCATACCCATGCATAGTAGGCCATTTGACGGGATTGGGGGGGGGATTATTTCGGTTACTGGTATGGTAAATTTAGCTGAGCTCACCCTTTCTTTTCTATAGTGTGTTATACAAGTCTGGTCTGCAACATACCGGGGGTACAGTACCAAGAAGATAGAGGGGGAATACCGAAAGATGCAGCAAACCCCCCTCCGCCCCACCCACCTCCACGAAGCAGTAAATCTATAATCCTATTCGCTATACTGTATGAACCCCCTGCTGTTCTTTATTCCCCCTAGCATGCTGAGCTGTTAGGCGGGGCGAATTCCCACTACTGCACTGTATGCATGAGCGTTTTATTCAGAGTGGACGCCAGTCTATGCACAGCCCGTGGTACGGTACGATATATCCACCACAGCCACCACCGCATAGCGATTTCATCATCTCTATTACCCGTGGCATAGCCCAAGGCATAAATCGACAGAGTGCAGTGCATACCGTACCGTGCTCGCACGCCGCAGGATTAAAAATAAATAAACCCGTGAATAACTTACACCACCGCCCGTCCGGTGCAAATTCACAATCACTTTGTTTTTGGTTGCCTGTTTATCCGTAGGTAGTACTGTACTTTACACTATGAGTACCGTGACCATGATACCTAATGGACTTCCCCGGGGCCGCATCTCTATTTCTCCGTGAAGAGTGTGGTACCAAGATCTGGTCCTTATGCACGGTGCATGCCGATATGTGATGCGTGGTATCGCGGCTGGGAGGGATTGTCTGTCGTGGATGTGATGCTGTATAAGGTGTTTGGCATAGTAAATTTAGGGTAGCACTTGTACGCCATTATTGGGTGAATACCTGCACTGTAGATGGAGATGCCCCGCTGACCACATGGCGTGTTGAGGGGGGGTTGCGGGGTGGGGTGTCGTGGATATTCGAGTTTTGAAGGTTGCATTGTGCAAGCCCCAGTGCTTTATCACGGGGTAAGAGAGAGGGGGGAAGGGATGAATGAGAAGGGAAGGTAGGGTGCTGTCCTTTCATACATGATATAGGGAGTTATTACTCTGGTGTAGTGTGATATTCTGAACTTTGTTTGCTGGTGGAAGGCTACGCTATGATATAGCTATTATAATTGTCTCATCTTGGCGTAAATAAGTCGCCCAACTGACCGCGAGTAAGGAAGTAAGAAGGTCATCACCACCTTCCACTTCCTTCCTTACTTCCTTCCTTCTCCAACCACGATACCCCTCCTCCATGCGTATCCGCCCCCCACCAAGCCACCTAAAGCACTAACAAGAAAGAGCTATTAACAGGTACGTACGGTGCAATACACACGCAAGAGCGGGAAACCGAAGACCCACATATATCATAATGACACGTTGATATAGTAAGGCATTCTTCATTCCCAGCCAACTTCCTAAATCGCCTTGCCTTGGCAGGATATTACTGGTAGGAGTTTCAGATTAAATTTTTTTTCTCGACCCCGGGGGTCGCTAAGAGATAAGTTGAGTTGAGGTTCACCGGAGATAGAGGAGAGTACACTACTGTACTAGACCAATCAACCCCAAAGGCCACTCGGGCACACCAGGCGGTTACCGATTGATAGGGTTTGGACGTGGAAACGAGCCGTTGCCACAGTTCATCCAAGTGGGCCACTGAGAAGCATCTATTTTGATCTAGCCGTCCAGACGAGTGGGGTGCCTGAGTGGCCTGGAGACTGTCTAGATCATGGGGTTTGCCGAGCGTTGCGGAAATGCCCACCCCATATCTGACGCTTCCTTGCTTACCGACAGCTTACCTACTAAAACGCCTTGCACCTGTACTACGGTAGTACAGTACGAGTACAACTGATAGTACGGTACAGTACACATGTCATGGCTAATCGCCAATGGTAGCTCCACATCTTTCCCCAAAAACAAGCATCGTACTTCCACATACCAGTACTCTTGTTAAATCTCTCTCTGAAAGGGGAGGGGAAAAAAGGGGGGGAGAAAAAAGACACTTCAAGGAGGCTTTCCAATTGCCCAGCGGTTACCTAGTGGCACAGTACCAATGCCTCACAAGAATGGTTATAGAGTGCCCAAGCTCAGTTGTGTGGATGATCTCCATATCATTGGCACTAGAGAATGAGAGAAGTAGGAAAGAAGGTCGTTTTGGCTAAACTTTAGCCTAAGCAATCCATCCACACGACACCCCGATTAATTAAACAAGACGGGGAGCTCCGATGGTCTACCGCACGTGAGTACCGGTACTGGTACCGTTGCCGGTAGGGAACTTGAGTGCCCACCTGTGAGCTTGAAAAAAGAAAGAAAACTATTGACCAGGATGGATGGAAGATCAGACAAGTAACTTCCTTAGCCCCCCACATTGAGATGCGCGATCTGGTGTAAAGTCAAAGTTACCATGAGACTTGATAGATGTGATGACCTGCCGACCGATAAGGAGGATGGTGCTCATTAACTGATGACTGCCTGACTGGGAGAACTTTCAGCTGGGGTGCTCAGAAGGGGAATTGAACACCTTGTGACAGGTTGGTGGTACCCTCCTCTACGCAAAAGCACGGGTATGAAAAATGGGGAAACAAGAAAGGAAGGGGAAAAAAAATCTGTGGCGTCTCAGTGAAATCTTGTTATCTTGCTGATAGCGCTGATCATGATGGGCGGGAGGAAATCTGCAATTTTGGAAGGGTACTGCCGGAAGACGTCAGGGGAAGGGGAAGAAAAGAAAAACAAACTGTGAGACAACAATACGCCAGCAAAAAGAAATATTGTCAACTTGACCTCGCTCGTGGCGCCCGTGCTCGAGTAATGACGGGACGAAGTGAAAGTGAAGGGAAGCGAATGGTGAATGGTGAATGGCGAAAAGACCGGAGTGGCGGCCAACTCAAGCGGAGTGAGGTGAACATCTCTAGTTTTTTTTTTTTTTTCTTTTTCTTTTTCTTTTCAGGCCCCGGAGCTACTGTACGGGTACAGGTAAATTCCCGACCGTCCTGGATCAGGAGGTGGCGATCGTTTGCCATTATTGCGCAGCACAGTGTACTTGTACCGTATTAATATTGCCATGTGCGAGTGGGTTTGCTCGGTCTTGGCCATTTGCTGAATGTAAGTGTGCAGGCTTGAGTGATGCAGCTGCCCCAACCAGAGCAACTGAGGTACGAGTATCGGTACCCGTATCGTACCGCACCCAAGGAGCAATGATTAGGCTGGGTGCGAGCCCGGAGTACTATAGCGCAGTACTGGTGCTCTACTGCAGTACCAAGATTCAATATCGTAGCCGACGGTAGCCAGAGAGTACGGGCAACTTGACCCCAGATTCTCACCCTCATTCTTCCCATGCCTCGCCCGTGATAGAAGTTGTGATGCTATGGTCGGCCGGCAGCAAGAAGGACAGCGAATCCCCAAATTCCCATAAAGGCCCCATCCGATTCCCTACTTCCTGCGATTCCCCACACAGCAAAGCCGAGGCACAAGAAAAATGGGAGGGGGGGAGGGAGAGATCCCTCCCCACCGCCTCCCTCTGGTATTAACCCTTCATGAATTTGGAAGGTGCCGGGAGAGTTCAGTCCCGCGCCCACTCACGCGCTCACACGACAGTCCAACATACCAGTTTGCAGGGCAAGGCAAGGGTGAGTTTCACCGGGACGTACTGTACCGTGCGGTGAGTAAGAGCAAGTGTAGGGACAGGATGGTGGTGGAAACCTGGGGTTCTTCGTTCTCTGCGTTCCCATTACCGGGGGACAGGGTTGTCATCTGGGCTGATTAATTACGGGTACGGTACATACCTTCATTGCACCATTCGTGGGTCAGTGGACGGATGGGGTAAATGCCCCGGAAGGGATCGCGATTTTGGGGAGGGAGGGGGAGGCTTTCCAGACCCGATTTGATGGGTTGGAAGGCTTTTTGAATTCATCCCACTCATCCACATGTATTAAATTTCACCTGGCGTGCTCCCTCAGCAGATATCCCCAATTGAATGCGGTTACCACTTGAACGAGAGTAGGGCAGGTTTTTTCTTGGAGATGGCGATTCTGCCTTATCCTCGTTGTTATTCTTCGAAACCTAATTCTCAAGGCAGTCCCTGGTATATGAAGGAAAGGATGGAAGGGCAAATCTTTGGGAACTATATGTCTTTACTTTTGGGGACTAGCTCTTCCCTAGCATCACATGCTTCAACTACCGTATGCTGTATCCTTTTCTTCATTGGCTATGACTGCACCAACCGTGTCAAGTACCGGTATCCCTTGTACCGGCTTCCCAAAGCGGGAACCAGTGGGAAATCGAACGGGAGGAAAAGCGTCTCTCTCCTTCGGATCACCACTCAGGGGAGCCCACGCCCAGAAACCAAACCAAACCGGACCAACACAGTAACATTCACAGATCGGCAAGGAGAAAAAAATAGCTTTTCAAGCTAAAATGCGACTGTGGGCACAATACCATAATGCCACAATAGCGTGAACATACCCATCCGTGCCATCTTCATTGTATCTCACCTTCCCGTCAGTAGCCGCCAGTGAATCAAGTTGGAGAATCATAGAAATATAGAAATGATCCGCCGTCCTGAAAGCCTCGCGGTTCTCAAAACCACACACATTCAAAATCGAGGAACCCTCGGTCCGATCAACCGTACCGTACTATCCCGCCCAAGTGATTGAGGTTCCACAGAAATAGTGAGCGAACGGTTCGACAGCAGGCATGTGGTATCGTATAGGCCGACATCGCACCGGTATTGATTATTATTACGGTAACGCGCCAAGCTAGGTTAGCCACCTGGTGCACAGCATCAAAATCCGCCTTGAAAACAAATCCGATACCCGAACTTGAAAACCGCCTTTCTCGCCGCTGGGGGAGTTTCAACAATTTCTGTAGTTATGGCAGTCTCGGTACAAGCCAGACTGACTATGCCGCAAATATAGCGAAGCATGGTTGACCTAATTGCCAACCTCTTTTTTTTTTTTTTTTTTTTAGCTAATCTATCGTACCGCTGCTACTGTACTTGTGCTACGAAAACCGCTCGGGTGTGTGCAGATAAACTACTCGAGTGGTGGGTATCCATATCTTTCCTAGTTTGATGCATTTCCTCCCTAGACCCTCTCCAATGACGATCAAATAAAACTCTAATCGCTGGGACTCGGTGAGCGTAATCACGTACCGTCTTACAATACCGGTACCGGTACTATGAAAGCGAGGGCAATTTTTTTTTTTTAGAATGTTGCGTCTGCGGTATGCATCCGGCGGTTAGGAGGGGGGGTCTGCGGCGACATGATATTACTCGCCCAAATGCTCTTAGGATGCAGGTCTGTAAATTTACATATACTGTACATTGTCCGTTGACAACCTATCTATGTTTCACAAACTCTGAAGGCAAATTCTCCGGCTCTCCATCCATAACTTTGTTTTGTCCCTTTGGAAAAAAGAAAAAAAAAGAACCGGGGTCCAAGAGCTTTCCAAAAGTTGAGCATATATAATGAGGAAGAGGTTTTGTGGCTGGTATCATAGAAAAAAAAAAAACTAAAGAGAGAGTGTGTAAATTATAATAACACCAGACCTGGTACGGGGTCATGGAGTGAGGGTCAGATTCGTTACTCTCCACACACCGTGGAGATCCTTACGCTGCTCAGTTTCCTCTATCATATCAAACTTCCCCAAGTAGAAATTAGTAAAGAGCTTAGCCCGTCCGGAAATTTTGTATGCTATACCGCGAGAACGGCACCTGTTCCTCCTTGCTCTACTCGGAAGTTTGTAAAGCATCCGTACGCTCTATGCTAAGGTAGGTATTGATCTTACTAATGTGTCCGAATACTTTGTGAATAGCCAAGTAGCTTGCCGGTATTGCTACTACCGTAGTCCCCGCCTACCCTCCCCCCATCCATTTCCGAAACGTAGTTTGCTCTCTCATGTTCCACCCTATCTTACCCTCTCTCCCCTACCGGTACCCACTCCACCGGTCATACTTAAACACTTTCCTCCCCCCCTCCACGCCAGCCCGGTTTTGCCTTCTCCCCTCCAATTCTTGTCCCCCACCGCTTTACCTTCCTCGCCCTTTCCCCCTCCCTTCTCCTTTCCTTTCTCTTTCCACTCACGCAGTGGGACGGAGGTGATCCAGCAGAACAAAAATCAAACAAAAAAAACCCCAGACGGAAGCGTTGGATATCGAGTTAGTAATTGCCAATCATGTCTGCCGAGAAGGAGACAGTTCCCGCCTATTCTCCCTCCGAAACCGGGGAGACTGGAACAACTTCACCGCCATCAAGGGGATTTTTTCAAGATATTATTGATGGGTTCAAGCCTCACCCTGTTCACGTCGCTAGGAAGAGGGCCGCGGCTGCTGATGCCGGCCGCTTTGATGTTGAGCAGGCCGCATTGAATGTTGCCGAGTCTCCACTTTCGAGGAAGCTGAAGGGAAGGCATTTGCAGATGATTGCTATTGGGGGTTCCATCGGCACTGGTCTTTTCGTTGGCTCTGGCAGTGCCCTGAGCACTGGTGGACCCGCCTCACTGCTTATTGCTTTCCTTCTCATTGGTGCCATGTTGTTCTGTGTGGTCCATGCTCTTGGTGAAATGGCCGTCTTGTTCCCGGTTGCTGGTTCTTTCGCTGCCTACTCTACCAGATTTTTGGATCCGGCTTGGGGTTTTGCTATGGGATGGAAGTGAGAATTATCCCTGCTTCCTGTTTTCTAATCAAGTACTGTATGCTTTTTCTAACGGTTTCTGGAAATTTAGTTACGCGATGCAATGGCTTATCGTCTTACCACTCGAGATTGTCGCTGCTACAATTACTATCGAATACTGGGACTCTCCCGTCAATAAGGCTGTTTGGGTCACTCTCTTCTGGCTTTTGATTGTCGCCATCAATTTATTCGGGGTCAAGGGTTATGGTGAAGCAGAATTTGTTTTCTCCCTCATTAAGATTCTGGCCGTCATCGGTTTCATGTATGATATCTCATACACCCCAAAAATTTTCCACTTGGCGATAGTGTGCTAGGACTAATTAGTTGCAGTATCCTCGGCATCATCATCAACTGCGGAGGTGTCCCGGACCGTGGATACATTGGAGGCGCGTACTGGACAGATCCCGGAGCGTTCAATCACGGATTCAAAGGCCTCTGCAGTGTGTTTGTTACTGCAGCTTTTGCCTTCGCGGGTACCGAATTGGTCGGTCTTGCCGCTGCCGAAACAGCCAATCCCCGCAAGTCCCTACCCACCGCCGTCAAGCAGGTTTTCTGGCGTATCACTCTCTTCTACATTGTCTCCCTTACCCTCATTGGGTTGCTCGTTAAGTACACCGACGAGCGTCTCCTCAGTGGAAGCTCGGGCGCTGATGCAAAGGCATCCCCTTTCGTCATTGCCATTAACGATGCCGGAATTAAAGTCCTCCCCTCGATCATGAACGTTGTTATCATGATTGCTGTCCTTTCCGTCGGCAATTCCTCCGTCTACGGTTCTTCGCGTACGCTTGCTGCTCTGGCCGAACAGGGCCAGGCGCCCCGTATTTTTGCCTTCATTGATCGCCATGGTCGTCCCATGGTTGGTATTGGGCTTTCGGCTGTTCTCGGTCTCCTTAGTTACCTCGCAGCCTCGGATAAGCAGGGCGAAGCATTCACCTGGATGTTGGCTATTTCTGGACTGTCCTCGATCTTCACCTGGGGATCCATCTGTCTCGCACACATTCGTTTCCGTCACGGATGGAAGAAGCAAGGTCACACTCTCAGTGAGCTGGCATACATCTCGCAACCCGGATACATTGGATCGTGGCTGGGGTTCATCCTCAACTGCCTTGTTCTCGTCGCTCAATTCTGGGTCGCCGTCTGGCCCATTGGTAAACAGCCCAGCGCTCGCGGATTTTTCTCCGTTTACCTTGCTGTTCCTATCGTTCTCTCCTTTTACATCTCCTACAAGCTTTACTTCAAGACTCCGTTTGTCCGTTCGATGGACATGGACCTCGTCACTGGGCGCAGGGAACTTGACCTTGAGAGAATCCTTGCGGATGAACGCGCGGAGAGAGCCTCCTGGCCTGCGTGGAAGAGATAGTAGGTTTCCTTAAAATACCATTCTTTATTCCCCTCATCAAGACACAGTTAAGCTAACAATACGTCACAGTTACAAACTCTTCTGCTAAAATGGCCCAGCATTGCTTTTGCTCTTGTTTCTTTTATTTTTTTTCTCTCCCATTTTCCCTTCACCTTTAATAACAATTTCATTTTGGTTTAGCTTGCCCCCAAAATTTTCTTCTCATCCTTCATACCTGTTTTTCGGGCTCGGAGTTTTTTTTGTGTTTTTCAGACGCTGCTGTGTTGTGCTGTGTTGAATAACCATATCCAGGTTTTCTCCACCCACCATAGACTTAAACGAAGAGAAGATGGTGGAAGGAAGGAACGATGTAACGAAAGCAAGAACGAAAAAAAAAGAAAAAAATGCTCCGCAAAGTCAAATCCTGTCATTGCTTATTTTGTTTTATGGAATGGTTGAGGTGAAGAGATTCTAGAGCGGAGTGGAGTTAAACGGGGAACTAATCTATTTACGCTATGATATTCATACCATGTCTGCACGGTACAGTACTACCGGTACCGTATCCCGATACTTGTAATAAGGTAATCTGAGCCCCGGCGATCACCCCCACCCACCGGCGCTTCCGGGTGGGGGGTTGCGGACCCGATAGGTAAATGAGCAACAAAACGGTAAACATACCCCACCCGCTCGCGTGCTCGTCCTAGCCGTAATAGTTACGCGGGGTAGCCAATCCCGCACCCTTGTCAAGACCAGCAGATACTCGAGTAGATAAGCTTTAGAAGGGCTTCCACTCGGCTAGCTGGACTATCGCTCCCTCCCTCTCCTCGCTTTGTTTGTCCCATCCCACTCCATTTGTACGATATGGCGTGCTCGTGATGTCAAGTATGTACCAAGCTTATCGTGTCGCACCGTATCCTACCGGTACGGTACCATAGTGCTACTGTAGCTGCGCGGAGCTTTGGAAATCCGTGGTGGGGTACTTGGTAGAGAGGATATCTAGAGTAGTCTATCATAGTCGGAGGAGAGGTTTACCCTCATGGGGAGGTGGTTAGGTTTAGGGTTGCTACCTCTACTGGTTGGTCCTGGAATTATGGTATGAGGCTAGCGGTGGGAGTGGGCTCTAGGAATCGGAGGCTCTGATGGGGTTAGAGTGATGAGTGAACCTGGATGGATTAGCGATGGGCCGTGATGCTTGTGTGAGCAAGCCACGCTGACGTTGGCATCATACCAACCGTCAAATGATGTTTGGAGGTCAGGTGAGGTGGGGGGAGGGGGGGGGTGAGTGCCTCTTCTGGGGAGGGAGCGTATGTATGGGGAATCTACATCGAAAGCACAGTAAGCACCACATTACCTCTACCAACCTACATTCCAGAACGCAGGCACCGCCCCCGACTACCGTGCGTCGGAATACGCACCCGACGGGGGGCATCAAGGACACGTAAATTCCCAGCACCTCTCCGCTACCCCCCAGACGATCAAGTTAGCAGGTGGGGAAAAATTGTTTGCCAGGCCGTTGATCCCGAGCGTTCCTAACGGTTGAGGAAAAAGTGTGTATATTCCTGTTGTGAATTTCCCTTTGTAGAGGGGGTACAGAGGGTATCATACCCTTTGCGCAATTAGATTAGATGGGAAGAGGGGTGGGTGTGTGTGCGATTGGAAGAAGGTTTTACAATTCGTGGGGGGTGGGATATCTGTGCTACTGGTATTTTTGGTATCATACCAGAGGGATATCCAAAGTAGGTGTAACATCTAGAGTGTCTTGTTGATGTTGGATAGGACCGGCTCACAAAAAACCATTCTGTGCTTGAAGGAGTCTCGTGTTCATGGATGGTCACTCGTTTTTCGTGATGAGCTCAATTGTTGGAGGACTGTCGTGTCTGGATTAAGTTATTACTCACTATAGCTATGAGGAGAGTTGGTGTATGTTGACCGTTAGGTTCTCTAGCATTGATCCCTTCTTAACTCTTTTTCCTCCTTTCCCCGACACCTATCCCCTTCCTCCCATCACTTTCCTTGCTAGGTTTTTCGTCCTCTTCCTTCCATTCTTGGCACGTCGAACTCTTCAATCTGAGCGCCCACATTATGTGAACACTCCGCTTTGATCATCGCCCCTTTTCCCATTCTTTAACATTCAAGCGTAGGGAAGGTGAGTTAGATGCTCCACGAGGATCATATCACAGTATCCAGCTGCAGAGCGGGGAGAGTGCCGGAGAATCCCAGAAGCATACGTGTGATCTGCAACCCTCCCGAGATCGTGTTTCGACCATGACACAATCTACCATTTTTCTTCAATGATATTCCTGCTGTCATTCTGCCCATGCGAACCGGGAAAAAAAAGAATCCAGCCGAGACCATAAAAATGGGAAGAAAGTTATCTGAAACCACCAGGACTAGTGGAGCCTCCTGAGAGCATTTCTGAAATTGTCGTGATCTCTGAGCCATCAAACCAGTTAAAAGTTTATTTCAAGTCCACGGTAAGGTCTTTAAGTTAAGCGTTGTTGAGACTGAGACAATTTAGGATGATGAACCCCCCCGAAGGCTGTATCGTTGCCTAGACTAATATTGAAGACGTATTTGTGGTAGTTGATAAGGAACTTGTGCAATAGGAGTATAAGGGTAAGGTAATAATGATAGTGGACTTTGATGGTCAAAATGAGGAGGCTACGGAAGGAGAGGCGAGGCAGGAGCTATCGTGTCAGAAGACTTGCTTGACTTGAAGGTTCTACTCAGTACACTATCTGGATACCCTTGAGTCTTACAAGTTAGGAAGAAAAAAAACTTTTACAATAGTCCAAGGCTCTGTTTGGCGGGAACGGAACCGTTTGAGACTGTTTAATTTCTCATACAAAACGACCATTACGAAACGGAAGGGTAAGAAAATTTGTATGGGAAACGGAACGGAACGGACGCAACGGTCGTATTCAAACAGACCCCAAGGTATTTCTTCACGCTCTCTAAATGTTGCTTCAATGGCATTTTAAAACTCATATATCATTTGATAGACCTGAATCAAGAAGGTCTACTATTATATTTCAGTCTATTATGACTACGCTTTGAGGAACAGACAATTCACATTCTGTTATTACTTTTCTAACTTAGATTTCAAGTTGATACTTTTCCATATACATTCAATACTCTGAAACCCACTTTTGGCTCAATAGTATATTTTGTAATAGAATAATATATACTTAATTTAATACCAATAACCTTAACTTTCATCTCTTCTATTGAAACACTTAATAGTAACTTACAAGCTATGAACCAATCTGATAATACTAGTGTTCTACTAGATAGGTATATAAGAAGCTCATTATTTCTCTAAACACCTTTTCCCACCAAGACCTTCATCTATCAGACTAATCTCACAAGTGATCAAGAGTCAACTACTTTTTTTCTTAGTACTATTCTGAAGAACAAATCCTACTCTTATAGATTAATTCCTTCAGTTTCCTCAAAGGTAAGCTTCCTCCACATTCTTTATCTTATTTACATAAGACTAACCCCCTGTATCTAGCACTATGAGTGAAGATAACAGACTCTACTTCCACATCCAAGTGTTAGAATCCAAAATCAAGAAAATCCAAACAGATGCAAAAAATTCTCAGCAATTGTCTGCTGAGAGAGACCAATACTTTCAAACTATTATCAAGTATCAGAGCTACAAGATTCAGAAACAAGCAGTGCAGATTGAGCTTCAGAAAGCTAAAATTCAGAATATAACTTTAAGGTATTCTAAGTACTGTGAGAATATGGAAAGGCAGATGAGGTTCTTGGAGGGGATGGCATATAGGGAGAATGAGGTACCTTCACCAGAGGAGAGAGGCAAGTATCCCTCTCTAACTAAGACCTCTCAGAGTTCAGAACCTATACTTGGCTCTGAAGTGGAAGACAACTTGAGATTTGAAGCTTTAGCCTCTACAAATCCTATCAGAAATCCCAACTATAAGAGTGGTGATAGGACTGCACTTGTAGCTCCACTGGTAAGTTTATTTCCTCTATCAAGTTTGCTACCCAGTTTCTTAAACTTATCCAAATATAATACTAAACTACTTTAATAGATTGGACTTAATATCTCTTCTGAAAACCTATCAGAGATGCCTGCTCAAGGATCTCAAAAATAAAACCAGTTTGGATATAAGTAGATAGATAATATATTTCCTACTCATAGTATTATAGCAGAGAAGTGATAGAAATATGAAATTTGATATACTACTTTCTCTTATTAATATACAGTCTACCAATTTCCTTAACTAATAAAGACTTGGAGCTATCTTATATTCTAGACTTATTCAGTTACATAGAGGTAACAAATTTAATAGGTAGGTGTGAGAACAAGAGTAAATAAAAAAGTAATTAAAATTTAGCTTCTACTAATATGGAGTCATATCCAACTTGCCGGCAATACTAGTACCAATACCAGACAAGTATTCTCTCTAGTAAAATATACAAAATTTAAGAGCTGTGCCTCTGTATGATAAATAGCACTACTGTGAATACCATAGGGTCCAAGAGAGTAGTACATTTTAGGTACAAGGCACTTTGATATGGGTGCCAATGGACTAAAAGGATGTTAGTCAAGAATGAAGAATAGTAAGAGTTAAAAGAAGTAACTGCCATAGTCTTCATTAATGTTCGGTCCTAGGGGTTACGCTTTTGTGGTCATGGATTAGGCAGGTACCGCAGAATGGAAAATAGATTTAAGCAACGACAAAGTTACAGCCGAAAGGTGTATCCCCTCGCTTGTCCACAAATTTGACAGCTTTCAAGTATGTGGACTATCACCGGGAGGGAGGAGCAATTTATTTACTTCTACCACTCACATTGGATTCCTTTTTTCTCACACCTGCCAAGACCGTCTCTGACACAGTGAGGGTAACACATCACCAGGAAGGGAGACTGAAAGTGCTTGGTTGTCGAAAACCCCGTACACTCAAGAACCCAGGGTCAAGTCGTCTGAAATCCGAATCGAGTGATAGCATGGGTGGACAACCAGTATTTTATCTCGAGGTTACCCGGCAAACAAGCACATAACTAAGTTCTCTGGCACATGTGACCTCACTGTCAGCAACCCCACCATGCTTCAACCACGAGTACTCCGGATCCCCCCATTAATATACCACACCGGTCTAGGTCTCATCCCACGAACACATATTCCGCCGTCACAATGCGCTGCGCAAATACCACTTTCAATGCCACCCCGATTGCCAATTTCCCGAAGGGTTCACACACGAGAGTTTCACGTTAATGTCCGGAGGTTAAGGGATCATCATTTCGATACATTAAAGTTTGTACAGCGGTTACAGGAGGAAGGGCTCTCGGAGGAACAGAGTGTTGCGTTGATGAGAGCCATGAGCGATGTTATTGAGGAAAGGTTTGTTACCCCTAATACATGCGGAAACACAATTGACCCAGAGCTAACCGGACTCCGCAGCATACAAAACCTGACGAGAACTATGGTACTAAAGGAGGATCAGGAGAAGATAACTTATAATCGTACTTTTCCATCGCTGCTAACCTGAAACTCTCCTGACTAACGCCCTCCTAGAAAAAGTTGACTTCTCCAAGCTTCGTAGCGAGCTCACAAACGTGCATGCCTCAGAACTAAAGCCACTTCGCACAGACCAGGAACGGCTAACCTCTGAAATCTCCCGTCTAAATGCTCGTCTTCGCGAGGAGATACAACGTGCGCAGAGCAGCGTTAGGCTCGACTTGAACCTCGAGAAGGGGAGAATCAGAGAGGAGAGCTCGGTGCACGAGCTGAAGATCAAAGAGACAGATACTAGGATTGAGAAGGAAATCGGAGACCTTAGGGGAGTCCTAGAAGGTGTCAAATTCTCAACATTGCAATGGCTGATCGGCGTCTGCACGGTGAGTTGGGCTTTAAGACATCGAAGAAATGGGCATCAGGGACTAATGGTACTATAGGGAACTGCGGCCTTGTTGTTGGGTGTTTGGAGATTGCTTATGTGATACTGATGATTCAAAACTGGGACATTCTCCACCGTACATAGCGCACCCCCTTCAGGGATGATATACCCACCATCTCCATTATTCCCCACCCAGACGCGGTCATAAGTGGACACCAAAGACTCAAAGACCCGGTAATTAGTAAATCAAATCCTAGGTCTACTTGTAGCAACGAAGCACTTGGTAGAAACACTTTCTCACCTCCGGTCAGTTTATAAGCACTGTGCATGTCTTGTGAGTCAAGGTCCAGTGATACAGCGGGGAACCAAGCCCATCCTAAGCTCCTCTCCAATTCAAACCTTGCACTGGGGGGCGGAGATATCGCCGAACAACGATATACAACGGAACACCCACCCTATGAGTCAGTGACCCCCCGATATTTGACTCCTAGATTCACCACGGGTAAGACTCAGGAATTTAGGAATCTGACATCACATTCTGTTCGGCAATCGGCAATTGAAAATCTGCCGTTCCTGTATGTCTGGTTGGCGAGCCCCGGGGTTAAACGTGTTTGGCGACATTAAATTGCCGGCATTCGTGCCCTGAGGAAGTTGGTTCACTTCGAGTGATTGTGGTAAGGCCAAGCTTTTTTTTGGTGTTTACTTTGTCTATCCACGCCATGGTAATATTGTGATCTCTCGTCCCATTTGATACCAAATTCTTGACAGAAGAGCATCGCATGAATACACCTCGGCACAGTCTGCGATGCACCAGTCTAACCACAAGTGACGTACGGTAGAAGCAGAAAGCCAGCCATCACGGCTCACGATAATAACCCCAGCAACCCGGTGTTTGTTGTTGTTTTTCCATTCCGGATCCATTTTCGACAGCCCCCACACCACCCCACACAGGGTTACCCGCTCTACCACCTTGCCAGCCCACCGACTGAAACATCTGTAGCCTCCCCGTTTCGGAAGAGGAACTTTATTTTGTTGACGGAACGAAAAAAAGGAACGAGTGAACCCCTCCTTCCTCTCCCTTGTGACCGCTGCCTGTAGCCTACTCTCCTCCTGCTAGCAAGTGCACTCTACCTTTCTTTCCCTTTCTTCTCTCCCATCTCACGACTGCCACGAGAATTGTCGGAAAATAAGGGATCTGAAAGGGGTAATGGCTAGCAGTCGTTATTCGACCAAGAGCTATCGCGGAGGCATCGGTGGTGATGAAGGGTACGTGGCCACTAATGAACTGGTGGACCCGGAAACACTGTATACTAAGCAGAACCAGATTGGTATAAAGAAAAAACTCCTCTCCTCCTTGCCCTTACTTTCTTTGCTCCTGGCGGTACTGACAGGCGTCATGATGCTGGTTAGGGGGGGGTAGTTTTGGCAAGGTTTACAAGGGGTAAGCCAGGCTCCCTATGAAGGAAACGGAGGGACGGACGAGCAGAGGGGCAGGCGAAGAAGGGAGAAAGCTCACGTAGAATTGGTGTGCATAGGGTCGATAAACGCAGCGGTCAATCGGTAGCTATCAAGGTCATCGACGTCGAGAACGCCGAGGACGAGGTCGACGACATTATTCAGGAGATCAACATCCTTTCGGAACTGCACTCCCCGTATGTCACGAAGTACTATGGGTCATATCTCAAGGGCTCGGATCTGTGGATCATCATGGAGTATTGTTCCGGGGGTAGCTGTGGAGATCTGATGAAGCCAGGGGTCATAGCAGAGGATTATATTACGATCATCATCAGGGAGTTGCTGATGGGATTGGAATACCTTCATAGCGACAACAAGCTGCATCGGGATATCAAAGGTGGGCCTTCTTACTTCTCCTTGGCTTGCCTGTCTAAGCGAATGCGTTGTCTTGGATTGGCTAACTTGTTCCGCTCCTAGCTGCGAATGTTTTATTAGGGTCTAACGGGCAGGTCAAACTCGCGGATTTCGGTGTCTCCGGACAGCTTACGGCCACCATGACTAAGAAGAATACTTTTGTCGGAACCCCTTTTTGGATGGCTCCGGAAGTTATCAAGCAATCGGGGTACGATCAGAAAGCGGATATCTGGTCTTTAGGTATTACGGCTATAGAATTGGCGCTAGGGGAGCCCCCTTACTCGGATATCCACCCTATGAAAGTTCTGTTCTTGATTCCAAAAAATCCACCACCAGTTCTTGAGGGCAACTTTTCCGACAAGTTCAAGGAGTTCGTCTCCCTGTGTTTACAACGAGACCCGCGGGATCGCCCAACGGCAAAAGATTTACTGAGACACCCCTTCGTCAGGAGGGCAAAAAAGACAACCTACTTAACCGAATTGATTGAGCGTCACGAGCGTTGGGTTATTGAGAATGGAAATAAGAGTAAAAACATGGAGGATGACGCCAGTTCAAAGATGGATAGTACCATGGATAGCAGGTCTACGGACGATTCGGATGCGGAGAGCGATCTGTGGGACTTTGGAACCGTCAGGGCTGTCGGAGGAAGCCGCAATCCCGGATTGAGCAGCTTATCTGCGGCCGCCGCCAATATGCGGTACGTCGCACAAAGCATTAATCAAGGTTACGGCGAGCAAGCTGGATCCAAGGTTGGAAGACGCCCGGTTTCCCCTCCGAGGACAGGTCCTCCTGTGCCTTCCCGGCCACCTGGGAACCCCTCCCCTACCAGGGATGTACCGCCGGCCGCCCCACCTCACGGGCGCGGAGGGGCCAAGGATTCTGGGTACGCTTCCACAGGGACGGTACGGGGTCTGAGCCGTCCGGCATCTTATCAATCGCTTCCACCTACTACAGCAAACCAAGACTCCCTATCTGCCTACAAATTTCAACAGCAAAATCCGCAGCCACAGCCGATATCGCCTCCCCGTAAGCCAAACTTTACGCCGGCACAGACACCTCGTCAGAGAGAGATGGGCGTAGATGAGACTAATAGAAGTATCCAGGCAGAGCTCGCTCAAGATATTAGTTGGATGAACCTAGCTCGGAATCAAGGTCCCGTTAATGGAATTGTCAGTATTCCGGCATCTGCTCCGATGTCAAAAGACTTTTCTGGCGATGGTTGGATAAAAGTTGAATTGAATTCGGGGGTGTCAACTCCTAGTGGATATGGAGATCTTAGACAAGGATTTCCGCCTCCCCAACCCCCCTTCCACCCACCGCAGGTGGCAAGGCAAAGTTCGAACGACATCCCTCAGGAGCAGATAAGAAAACAAACGCAGCATCAACAAATGCAACCTCATAAGATGCCCGCCATTGGTCCCCCACCAGGATTGCATCACCCCCGGCTCCAGCAGCCACCTCAACCACCCTCTCACCACCACATCAACAATGGCCTTAATCATCACCAACTTCCTCAGCTCCCACCTCCCCAGCACCAACAGCAGCAACAGCATGGTCTTCGTCAGATGACGCCTAATTGTAAGGAGGCGACACCCGAACCCCCGGAGCTTACTGCGCTTGACGGCGTTATTCTTCCTGCACTAGAAGCAGCTCTCCAACGCCGAACCTATCACCTACAGTCGGCCATTCGCAAAGCTCAACAATCATCTTCTGTGACCGCTCGCCAAACGGCCCAAGAGAAGCAGCAGGCTCATGACAGACTCAAAAGGCTTGTTATCAAAGCCGCTGGAATATTCAGAGAAATCGAAGAATGGGATAGCGCAGCCCCAGTTGGGATGGGTGGTGAAGTGAATGGATTTCTTGAAGGTTTTCTAGAAGAGGTCTTGGTCCGCGTGGAAGCGGAAGAAGACGACGGTAATAACAACCACGTAGCCAGAGAGGGCGAAAACAGGTGGCGGTAGTTCGATATCAAAGCCCTTTTCTCTTCCCCCTCTGTTTCTTCGTTACCTTAATTCGGGGTCCCGGGCCGTAATTATGGCCCGCCAGTTTTTCCTAACTTCTCTTTTGTAAAGTTTATGTCCTTTCTTTCTTTCTTCCTCTTTTATCGGGTGCTTGCTGGAGGCGAGTAATGTGTTCTTTTCCTCTTGTCTTTTTTTTTATGATTCCCCACGCGCAAATTTTGTGATTGTGATCCTTGAGATCTGCACACTAAGGAAATTACTGTCGTCCGGTAGGCCGAGGGAGAGAAATCGCTGCGAGTAGTATGATATGATAGCAAAATGGATGAATTGGATGGACCGGATGGGAGGGAAGATTGGTCGTGGCGTTAGGCTTTCATTGTGTTTTAGTTGATTGGCATTGGGTGAAGGGAATGGATAAGGGTGGGAAGGGGTGAAGGGGATCAATGGTTAGATGATAATGAAACTGGTTTGCACGATTATGCCATAATACTTTTTTTTTTTTTTTCCACGGCCGAGTGTGCATTCCTGAAAGGTGTATGAAAGCATCCATCATGCCTCTACTTTCTCCTCCCTTTTCTCTCTTACCAAATATCCCCATCAATCGACCATCAACACCAGCCAACAAACCACAAAAGAAAACATTCAAAATGCCAAAACCCCAAGACGCCGACTCTCAAGCGGAGGACATAACCTCCCTAACCAGCCTCTTGGAAACAATGGCTCAAGCAGTCCCTTCCCCTTCCCCTTCCCCTTCCCCCTCCCCCCCTACATCGTCAGCCTAACAGCCCCAGACCAAAAACCGCAAATCCCGCCGCCGCGCGAAAATCCACGCCTCGTACGCAGCAGCGCTAGCCGAGGTCCGTGCAGAAGCGCAGGAAGGGTTGGAGAGGGAGAGGAGGCAACGCAAAGAACGGCAGAGAAAGGTGCTACAACGGTTCCGCGAGCTGGTGAAGATGAAGGAGGAATTGGAGGGCGAGATTGAGAGCGCCCTGGGGACCGTCAGGGCGGGCATTCGTGAGGTTTTGGAAACCGTTAGTTCTTGTCAGGAGGAACATGAGGAGGAAGGGGAAGATGAGGATGTTGAATAATAGTATCATTACAGCGCAATTGTCTGTTCATCTATCTATCCCCCCTCCCCCCCCCCCCACCACAGAGATTTCGGTGAAAACAACTAGAGTGATTTTTCATGATTGCCTTCGGGTAGATATCATGCTGTAAGATATGATAATCCACCTATTGTATTGTACTCGTACAGTACACCGAAGGCGCGGACAAAAAGAAAGAGTCCCACAGCGCCAAGTTCTAGTCTCATTTTCGAGAAGTGCGCACTGTACGAGTACAGCACTTCTTCAACAGATACAGTACAGTACAGTACAGACAGGTCCTAGCTAATAGTCCCCGATTTAAAAATTAAAAAAAAAATTAAAAAAGTACAATAAACAAACAAGAAAGTGCTAACGCACACAATAATGTAAAATTTACACAACTGGTCGGAGGGGGTATGATAGAATGACTCGCGTCACGGTTCCCTCCCCAGGAAGGAAAAAGAAATGAAAAAAAAAGTATCATAATAATATTATTATATAACACATTCGCGTGGAGATCAGCAGCAGCAGTAGCACCAGCGATCCCATGAGATGGATAGATGCATCCATACTTTCCCACCTTCCCGCAAACCCCGAGGAATGCTTTGATTCTCTAATCAGAGCGAAAGGTCTTACCTTACCATCATGTACAAGTTACCCGCTAACTTACAAAATTGACAATCGCGGCGGAAACTTCGCTACGCCGCCACAAATCCACATAATCTTTTGCACCCATTCTGGGTGGGTTGGAGGAGGAGGGGGAGTGAGGGTATGATATTCGAATGATATGATATGATATGATATCAAGGCATTCCGGTCAAGTTTTAATATAACCCTTTTAAAATCCTTCATTTAATCGGAGCAGTGAATGCAGCACATATGATATGATATGATAGAAAAACTTGTCGTTATTTTATGAGCTGGGATAGCTTGTGGCGTTATGGGATAGTGTTTGCCTGTTATCGTACTTGTCATGGGCCAAGTATTATTCTGCTTGTCCGTGAAGGGTTGTATGATTAATGGGGGATCTTCATTCGCCGGGAGGTGAATTCATTCGGGTGTCCATATGTGCTAACCACATTTAGAGTCGGAAACTGGTATTACTCATCTGTGAGGTTAATTCTACCAATAATATAGATCCACTAATCTGACCAGTTTACCGTATTAACTTGAATAAGAGCAACACATCTCAGGACGTCTGACTTGCCTATTTTGGTAGGGACGGGAGAAAATACCAGCAAAATAAAACCACGCGTTACCAAGAGGGGAAACCTAGACGTCCCGAGCGGTGTTGCTCTTATTCAAGTTCATACGGTATCTTTAGTGCCATGTAGGGAAGTTCGGCACTATCAATACAGGGATACTATAATATCATACTAGGAGAGATTCTGAACCCAGCCCTAATCATTTTACATACAGAGAGGAAGTGGCAGTGTCGAGCTATATTAAATTCCTTGAATCCCGATCCGTTTACTGGAAACACTCTAGTTTTCCAGACCCCAATAGCGGTATATCGCTTGTATTATATAGTCACATAGAGAGAAAATACCCAATGAGCTCAATATTGTGGGGTGGGCTAGGGGGACAAATGAGTAGACGTGCGGACGCACCAGATGATTGTATGAGAGAGGAACTTTGTTACTGTTCTCAGGTCCGAGCCTGATAGCTATATACCAAACACCAACCGCCGTGTGGCGCACACCAACCTCAGATCCTTTAGATATCCAAGCCCTCACCTCCATCGGTGCACAGAACACCAAGGGTCGCTGCCCATGCGCACTCAACAAATAATGCCTAGTTATACAAATATATATATGTACATCGCTCGTAATCCACCTGTCTCACGAAACACTTTCCACCCAGCCCGTCGAGTGAATTGATCTTAGTGAGAAGCCTCAGCACCGCGTCAAGGTGTCAATCCAAGCTGAGGTACCTAGAGAAAAACCACAAGTTAGCATCACATCACAGAAAGGGGAAGGGGTATAATGTGGTCGATTTCCACAAATTTTCGCCAAACCCTAGACGGAAACGTTGGATATCAGCTGTTCGCTCCAACTATTTTTCGCCACTAAAGGCAAAACTATCATACCTCCGAGAAAACAAGACCCTATCTGATAAATCTGTTAGTACCAGTTATTCTCAGTATTCCCAACCGCGCCCTGGCGGGCTTGCAGTCCGGGGCGTCCCGGGCAGGGTGGGTAAGGACGGCAGGGAATGGCGTCCGTCTTTGATAAAGACCGCCGTCCGAGGGGTTGACGCCCGGGCCCGGGAGTCTTAATACAAATCGCATCTTCCGGCCGTCCTCACTAGGGCCTGACCGTCATTCGTAGAGCCCAGCCGTCATCTGCAGGGCCCGGCCGTCATTCGCAGGGCCCGGCCGTCATCTGTAGGGCCCGGCTCTCATCCGCAGGGCCATTTGCAGGTGAGACACCTATAGGGCCCGGCCGGCCTCCGGGTAGTGGTTAGGACGGACCACAGGATAGGCGTCCGTCCAGGGCAGAGTTCCAGAAACCAGTGTCCGTCCCGTCCGAAGCCAAGGACGAACGGACTGGACGCTTGGGAACACTGGATAAATCTGTTAGCGCCAGTTATTCTATGGAATTAGGCAACCACCTTTCATGCATCAACAAATCTCTTCCTGACCACCACAATCCTCGCCCCCCCCGACCCCCCGCCATTCCTACCATCCATCCCTCATCTACCCTACTAAGTCACCGGATTCCTCGCCAGGCATGCCTAGATACAGTGGTTAGCACATTTTATAAAGGAACACTCGACACTCTCCATATCACCTTCGCAGCTCTCCTTCTAAACCCAACTCCCAGAGGTACCGGATTCCTCACTAGGCGTGCTCAAAATATTATCCTTTCTAGCCAACTGACGAACAGCCTCGTACCCCTCAAAATAGAGGTCCCGAGAGGCCAATTCGTACTCTGACGAGGCGTCGGAACCATTCGACTCTGTATCCCGCTCCGGCCGCGAAAGCTCCCAATCGACCAAGATGGCCGAGGGGGAGTAGTGTTGAGAGTGTTGAGAGTGTTGAGAGTGTATGGGCAACAGTGGATGATGTGATCATATGCATTAGCCTGAGTGAGGATGTTGAGCGTTGGGGAGAGACGATTCCTGGTGTGGTGTGCATCTTTGGTGATGAGGGTTTGGATGTCTGAAGGGCTTGAGGTTGGAGTGAGGAGTCACATGTTGTTCGTTTGTTTGTCTAGTGATCCCACTCCACAACAAGTAGGACTCCTCCAGATTCCAACGTGCCGCAGCAACACCGTCGAAATAGAGATCCCTCGGGATCCCGCCACAGGCAGATGATGCGTCAGAGGCATCGTCACCGAAGTCCTCCCCACCGGGGTACTCCTCAAATGCCGAAGACTCGGCATCTGAATCGTAGTCCGTGGTGGGGCTGTCACAGGTGGGGAGTACTTCGGCAAGGGGCGAGGAAGGGGTAGCGGAGACGGAGGATGAGGGCGGGCTGAGGGATGAAGAGAGAGGGGGGCATCCTCACCAGAGCAGGATGCTGCTGGCGGGCAGAGGGCTGAATAGCCGTCCGGAACTATTGTATATAACGTTAGCATATACCCATGGGGTGAGAATCAATAATTTGAACAAACCGGTCCCGCCGCCGGACAGCAAGAACAACTCCCTAAGGAGTTGATCCACAATGTTGGGTATCGACAAGAGGCCGGTCCCAAAAGTCCCAACGCAAGCGTAGACAAATCCAGCGAAAGGAAGAAAAGGTAAAACAACCACCCGAGGGCTCGCTCGGGGGTGGAAAAGGTTCGATTCAAAATCACAACTATTTTCGTAATGATGCTGATGTTGATGTATGAGGAAGGGAGGAGGAAGGAGGAAGAAGAGGGGAGCGAGAGGTTTGGGTATGGAGGAAGAGCCCTTTTTCGTAGCATTCGTACGCCGACCGAATGCGGTTGTTTTACACCCCGATTCGTAAATCCGGTCATGGCTTCCCTCCAAGCTTAGATTATGCATATACAGCAGGGTGGGCCTCACACTCGCGCTGCACTCCACTCGTTTATGCACACCGAGATTCAGGATTGTCATTGCGAGTGAGGCATCATGATGCTGAGGAAGATTTACGAGTCCCGCATCCCAAATACTCTTAAAGCGCCCAGGAACCCCAGCACGTCGGCCCCCTCACTAAAAATGAGACCTATATCATTCTAGATAATATTGGTACATATACGCGAATTTTGGCCAACTCCAAAAATGCAACAATTAAGTCCAGTCCCTCCAATCTGCATTGAACCTGTAGAGCACTCTCCCATGGCTCCCCAAAAAATATTCCTTGTAGGGATTGATGTGATGTACTCACAGGCCTTCAAAATTGTTCTTTCTGTCTTCCCCAAGTCCCTTGTGGTCGATAAGCAAAGTTAAAACTATAATTTATCCAAACGCAACAAAATGCAACTAGCCAATTTTCTCATATATGTATCATGCCCATATGCTAGTCCGAAATTACTCAAAGCGGACGCTTTTTCCCCTTTTCCTTTCTTGTGAAAACTGCAAACAAGCGAGAAAGGGAAACTGAGCTCACGAGCACTGGTGCGGTCTGCGGCCTCTTCACCATCGAAGGTGGTAGCTTTCCTGGCATAATAGGAGCCAGGGTGCAGAGCTACCTTTTCGTCGGATAGACACAGAGAGAGAGAGGTATCTAGCTGAAAACTTGCCGGGGAGAATTTATTAACGGCGGACTGCTGTATCTTGATATTCGGGTGAGCTCAACTAAAGAGGTTACTAAATTTGAATACCTGAATTGAAATAGATTGGTAACACAAATATGGTATATTGGGAGAGGGGGGAGGTGGATTCCGGAGTGCCCTCAAAGTGTTATATTAGAAGGGTTTGCACAGTCCACACCACTGGTGAGTGGGGCCTATGATATTAACAGTACTTCCAAGTAGTGGTAGTTCTCGTTATAATAAGAGCACAAGAAACCCGCGATGAAATGCTTGTCCTCTTTACTCAGCACTTCGGAGAGG